TTGTATCAGCAGACAGGGACAAGGAAAGCGCACCTCAGTACACCTGAGCACGTGGACGTGATGACAGCAGGGACACGACGGGATGAAGAGGGAGGGATGTCACTACTTTAAGTTTTTTTATTTCACTTCTAACCAAAGCACAGTCTTCTTTGGGCCAGGTTTGGTCTGCCCAATCAAACCTACACTGGGCAAGTATGAGAAGATTAAAAAACATCAGATTTTCTCTTCACTAGTTTATTTATATAACTGCAGTTAGATATGAAAGATTCACAAAGTGCTGTCCTTGGAAAACAATGTTCCTCATGAAAACACCCAATGGACTTTGGTGACTGCTGGGGCGGTGTGAAATATGGTCCAGGCAGCCGCCTCATAGTTTTACAGCTCGTTGTCGAAATGCAACCAGTCATCAGCAAAATCCACTTCAACAACATCTCATGGTCATGATGCTTTTCTTCCTTTTCAAACAAAGAGGAGGCTCCTTAATGAAGCGGCTGAAAAAACAGTTTGACCACAAAGTACCACGGAAAGTACATGTTCTAGTCCGACTTTCTTACAGTACTTCATCCATTTTTTCTTTGCAACAGTTTTCTCCCGAGCAGCGCTTTAATTACCACTTGGAAAAAGAAATACGTCCTGTCAGTAGTGAATCGAAAACGAGCGCTTTGAATCAAGGCAAGAAAAAGTATGCGAGACGTCACGCTGTGATGGGAGGCTTTGCTTTGACAGTTTGCGTCTTTAGATGAACGAGATTCATCAGACGGAATGTAATCAGGAGCCGAGTTTGAGAACATGGCAGATTTAATGACTGGAGGTGGCTTAGTGAGATGGTGAAGAGATAACATCAGATCATCAGTCATAAGAGCGAAACACAGGAGTACTTATTAAAGAGGAAAAACGATATTTTCTGACTCCTTTGACTCGCTTTTATGAGAGCCTTTTGTCAGGGGGATGAGGTGCTCAGGTGGGGCTTTTATATATTGATTAGTTTGTGGAACAAAGACATTTAACATCAATGAAAACTATTGGCTTAATCTGACTTCATATCCTTGCAGGTTAGCTGAAAGGAAAAGCGAGACGATTGCAATCTTGGTTTTTTATCTCAGTGTGCTCCCCTCTCTCTCTCTCTCTCTCTCTTTACTGTGATATGTGATTTTCAAACTTTTCTTCCCTGTTTGACTTTTTTATTTGCTTTGTTTCACGATGAGTTTGCAGGTTTTTCACTCGAGCCTTTGTCAACATGCCTCTGAGTAAGAAATGTGCCTGAGCCGATTTGTAATGATTAGATTACTTGATGATCACGCTGGTGATACAAGACTTTTATGTCATGAATTTATAATATCCTCCACACAACACAGAGCTTTAGCACTCTTCAGCGGTGTGCCCTCCATATCCAAAGTTTTGAAGCATCGCTCAAGAGTGGCGGGGATCGCGACGCTTCCGAGTGTCTGATGTTGCATTTCAATATAACCTCTATCTGCACACAGACTGTGGCGGTGTGAAGGGCTCCCTTTTTTGTGTGCATTCATAAAGACGCTGTTTTGATGACACTTGATGCAGCTCCTCTAATCAGCACTGATTGTAAGACTGTTGGATCTTTGCTGGTGCCTCTCGAGAAAAAAAAAGATGCTGACTTAGCGATGTCTAGACGGCAGAAAATCAGAGCTCTGAAGTTTGCTGCACTGAATACAAACATGGACAGCACACACTGCAGCGCAGAATTCACTCAACTCAAGATACAATACATATCATGATACTGAACAATTAATTATGATCTTTCTACTTTTTATGAAGGCATTCACTTGAAGTCATTCTATGAATAGATATGATTCCTTTAAAGGTCTATGTTAATGTTCTTACATTAAAAGCGTAGGCCACCCAAGCCCTTCCAGAGAGGGGGCGTGGTCAGACACAGCTCATTTACATTTAAAGGTACAGACACAGAAACAGCCTGTTCTGAGCAGGGATGTAATAGAGGGATTTATAGACGTGATCAAATACAGGATCAGAGTGGATTTTTGGCAAGAAACTTCACAGACATGTTTTGGGGAGCTCTGAGACTTATTCAAAATTGTTGAAAAGGAGTACAATATGTGACCTTTAATTGTCTGGCAATGAAAAAAAAAGTATTTTTTTCTCAAAATATTTTTTAAAGTTTTTCATTATTATGAAATACTTTTAATGTTGACGTTGTATAGTTATTAATTAAACAATGTTCTGCTGTATAAAAAGTAACACTGGTTAGAGACCTTTTAGGAATTTTGTATTTGAGATAAAAAAAAAGGATTTTAAACCAACCCCAAATCAAATACAGATGTATTCTAGCACAAATAAGGCACATGATAAATAAGTGAAACAACATTCAGTCAGCATTTTGACGTTTTTTTTAATCAAAATTGGTGAGGTAATTATACCTCTAATGGTACTAATGATGCTGCTGCAACAAGAACTGAGAGATGATTTCTGCACTTGAGATCACAGCACAACACTGGGTGCAGACACGCACACTATTTCATGCATCAACCAGCAGTCATCTGATTGAGCATTTTCTCCTGAATCCCCCGAAGGCCCAGATATGTAATTAAAGACAGCTCCAGAGAGTGTGTGTGTGTGTGTGTGTGTGTGTGTGTGTGTGTGTGTGTGTGTGTGTGTGTGTGTGTGTGTGTGTGTGGATTCAGCGGTATCATCGGAGGTCCATAGTTAATCATCAGTCCACCAGAGGTCTCGGGGATCAGCCCATCGATTCCCTCCGGGGGAAATCAATTCAATTAAAGGCATTACTTAAACTGAACTCAGATCAGAGAGTGGAGGACATACAGCAGGAAGATCAAGAGCACAGAGAGGAGGATGTGGTACATGATGGGAGGATGTTAGAGAGATGTTCACAGGGTGGGAGGAGGTAATAAGAGGGACTGTTGTGTGTTACATTAACTATATGTAAAACTGCAGACAGCATTTCTTCTGTAATCCATCTTTATAACCTCTGTTATCTATCTTTATCATCAGGATGGATGAAGATGCTTTCAGACAGGGAGTCATTAGGAGTCATTGAATGCTGCAGTACCTATAGGAGATTATCAGATGATGTACTATCAAAGCACTAGGGGTGGGAATCACCGGAGACCCGATAATAATATATTACCTCAATACGTAAGTCACAATATGATGTTATTGTGATTTTAAATAGGTAAAGCACATATTGCAATATATTTACTGTTTTCAAGTGCTTAGTATGTGGCCAGAGGGGGTACAAATCAGCAACTCTTCCGATAAGTTTTATCATGAGTAAAAACAAAAGGGTTGTGAAGCAAATCAAATTCATCAATTACACTTGCCATGCAAATTAAGTTAATAACTGAATTATTCAATTTTAAATGATAATTTAATCCTGCTAGGTATTTGCATTTTTAAAACAGTCAAAAAAAATACTGATACAAAACTTTAATGACTTTTTGCAATTCTTTTAAAACACCATATGAGAGAAGTGCATGTGCAAAAAAAAAAAAAAAAGGGACGATACCAATAGTTTTCCCTCATGACTGACAGCAGCTGCCACTCACAACTACACTGCTTGTATCAAGAAGTGCTTTTTAACCATTGCACATACATGAAGAAGCACGCACACAGCCTGCGGCACACAAACACTTTGCGAGCGCACACACACAAGCTGTGAGGATCAATGGAAAGTTTGAGGAGCTCTCCTAGCGTCTGACCTTGATTAGACGTAATGAGACTTAACCACATGTCCACTAATCTGATGAAATGACTTACAGATTCACAACGGGATGAATACAAAATACTAGCATCCACTCCGGCTTTATACAGGCGCACAAGCTCAGGCACTTAAAAAGGCATGTGAATACACACAGACACACAAACACACGTGTCCTTGGCTCTTTTGAATCACACATATGACTTAGCGGATCTTCAAAGGACTCTTTGATCACCTCTTTGAAAATCATCATTGATAAGAATTGCAGATTGGGACTTGAATTGGAAGTGGAAGGACTGGCCTCTGGGAACGTATCTCTGGTGGTGATGTAATTTGGTGCCAAAATTGGGTGCCAAAATTGGGTGGGTTATTTTGGTGTATTTGTCTTTGACAGTAAAACTTCTGTACATGTGGCTCATCTGATGTTGTAAAAACTAAAAACAGAGATTGAGTAGTTGCCGACTTGATCGAGAGCAGCAAAATAATCATATTGACACCACACACTTCTGGATTATTAGGACAAATAAATGGTTGTAACAATCCTCAAATTGGCCAAGCCCCCCTGAGTGTTGGGGGAAGGGGGGGGTCAGGCCCAAAGACCTCAAGATGAGACCTGCTGCCCTCTGCTTAGCATTAACGGAAAGCTCAAAAACAATGTGGATTGTCTTACTACTTGAGCGCAAATTCTATACCTTGTCATGTCAGAAAATGCTGCTTCTCTGAGGTTTGAAGAGCAAAATAAAGCAGAAATGTTTAGGGCTACTTGCCGAAGATCCCAACAGTGTTCTGGGTCTACCAAGCTCCAGAAATGTTGGAAGTGTTGCTGAGATTTTAGCCAGATGTGATCTTGGGAGATTAAAAACCTCCATCTCCCCAGGATTGATACTGAACAGTTCAGCTATCTGGTCTGAAATCTATGACTGAAGGGGGAATATATGTTCATGAAAGGAAGAATATATGTATGTGAAAGAGATAATATGAGAGGAGGATTTATGTTTCTGAGAGGAAAATATGCTGTGTGTGGCCAGAATGAATTATGGCCTGTACAGCCCCTCATACATACATACATAACACTGAAACAAACATTGAAGTGGGTAAAGCATTGTCAGACGTGTCAAATGCATGTGAGCGCATGACCTTTCTGTCTGTGTTTGTATATTTGCCTTTGTGGGCTTGTTTGTCTGTGGGTGTGTATATCTGTCAGCGTACATTTGTGTGTCCTTGTATGTACGTGTGTGTGTGTGTGTGTGTGTGTGTGTGTGTGTGTGTGTTTGTGTGTACAGCTACTTACTGCAGATTGCATCAGCCTCGTCTGAACCATCTGCACACTCCGGTTCTCCGTCACAGCGCCACCTAGCGGGGACACACTGTCCGTTCTTACAGGCGAAGTCCGTGGTTGCACATGTTTTCTTTGCTGTGGAGACAGAACATAAAATAGGACATTACATTATGACTCAAAGAGAGGTAAAGAAGTAACACGTCTGTTGGTCATTGGTATATGAAGTGAATCTTATAGATTCTCTGGAGCTCTGCTTTTGAAGTCAGAGGTAAAGGTGGACAACAAGAAGACCCCAAGAACCTCGACATTCTGTCCAACGGTGGAAGAGGAAATTGAAAAAATCAGTGAGTGGAAAGAAACCATGTCAAAAGTCTCATTATCCACTTAACAAGGCAAGAAGACAAAGCAATTTAAATTCAGTTTAAGTCAAGGGTAATTCCTGAGCGCCAACTTCAAGCCAATTTAACGATCAGCAAGTAATGTTTAAATGCAGCCTGTTGCACACTGAAGCCTTGATGAAGTGTTCAAGTGCATCTTGTATTAGGAAACAAGAGGGGAAAAGAGACCTTTGATTAGTTTTAATTTTCTAAGTTTTTTGTTGTTGTTTTTTCCCCCCTCTGTGTGTGCATATCATCTGGGTTTATTCAACAATGTTTTTCATTAAATATGGATTAAATCTTTGCCCGGTCAAATCCAGTCGAGTCCTAGTGTTTTAATGCTGCTTTTTTTCTGTATAGCAACGTATTACATTTCACAACCTGGAGCAGATTTAGGAGTGAAGAGATATTCCAATACCAACGTTTCTTTTCAGATATAGATTCCAATATGAGACTTGGGTTTTGTCTGAGTCAAAGGACCCCTCATATACAAGAGCTTTAAAGAAACATACACACCATTATCACTTCACACCTGTTAGCTGTACTGCTACCTTTGAAAGAATGTGACAGGTTGCTATCATTGTTATTTAGCTCAGTATACTGAAGGAATCGTAAACCCTAAAAAACAAAGCCAAGCATGTAGACTCAAGCTATGCTAATGTTAGCAACAGCTCCAGTTGCTGCCTTTCCTCAGCTAAGAGCGCGAGAGGAACCAGATTCTTTTTCTTAACCTTTATTTTGTGTTTTTGAAGGGGATAGTACTCTAACTTTAGAATAAAAGCAATACAGTATTCAAATGTGTGATTGAAAAACTCTTCTTGCTGACATTTTTCAAGCTTAAACTGAAGCTACAATCTTGCTAGCAGCGCAACAATCTGGTTTGCTGCTCTTGAATAGTAGTAACCAGTTGCCAACTTTAACCACTGTGTAGGAAACAGTAAAAACCCAGTGAAGGACTATGAATCAGAGTTAAGACTTGTATTAAATCTCAGCAGTGTGCTTTTTTATGAATAAGTAGAACAGCTTCAGTAGAACCCCTGAGAAGAGTGTGTCGAATAAATCTTGCAGGGAACAGAGCATTTGATGCGCCAACAGAGCAGAAACACAAAAGTCTCCAACACGAACTGAACCAGCTCAGAGGTTGTGGTCTATTTTCACAGTCCTATATGATCCATTCTTAGAGTCCATGCTCAGTTCTTTCAGAACCGGCTCTGACTCTCTGTGATCACGATAGCCTTCAGACTCCAAAAGTCCCTTTCCCAAATAGCGGGGAAAATCGAGGCACTTGAGTCTGTCATGGGGAGAGGCAATGAGAGCCGAACAAGAGAAAGCACTCGCCCGGCGTGTTAGCAGTGCCTTGCCACGCCATGATGAAATATACTGTACAGAGAAGGGGCTGACAAATGGCAAGATAGTGCTTTTGTTTGTGTGTGAACAACCCCTGTGTGCGTGTGTGCTTTTGGTGTTTGTGTCGGGGGGATTTTCATCTGAAAAGTAGAGTGAGCTACTGTGACTGCTTCTGTTCTATTTTTCTTTCATGTGAGTCTGATGTTAAAACGCTCCAACAACCCTTATCTCTAATCGCTGCGAATGTAGCAATGAGTGCCAGGATAGGTGATCATAAAGTGAAATAAATCATATTTGTCCTGTTAGAGACCATTATTCTCTGATCTCTTTCTGTTGCATCTATTACAAGTCAAACTGAAGTGTGAGTTGGATTTCAACGATGGGAGAATAACAAACAAATATGAAGCACACAACAAAGAGTCAGTTTTTATGATCACAATATCTGCAAGGCTGGTTATTTACTTCCTTTCAGAGGTGTTTCAAACTTTGAAAACAGATTGGCAACTCAAATTACAAATTTCACATGCCAGTAAATAAACGACATGCCATTAACATTTGGCCAATTCATTTAGAATTGAAAGCTACGATGAGGAATAATGGTTTAGAGTAACTTTGGCGCCCCCTCTGGAAAAAAGTTGTACCTTTTATCTCTTTGCTTATCTTGTCTTGTACATGCTTAGGTTATGTTTTCTCCATAAAATCCCATCATGCTTTCTTCTTAACAGTCAGACATACCCCTGAGAATCACTGCAGTAGAAAATGTTAGAAAAATAGTCTATTGCTTCATCTCATCAGTGGGCGTCAGTCGGAGGAACACGTATGTCATGTTCTGAAGTAGTGCTAAAACAAAGTGGTTCACCAGTGGAAAGGTAAAGGGCTTTGACTTGTCTCAATACAGCTTACATTTACCCAATGTTGTTTTTTTGTGTTTTTTTTCTCCAAATTAGCTTAAAAACATGAAGTCAACCACCTGTCTGTAAAGCTGTATAGACTAGCTTCCATGCCTGTACTCTTGCTGGTCTCTCCCTAAGGGGCCACGCTGACTGGCATCTCCTGTAGCTAATATGCTTACTATTGACAAGTACCTCAAACAATCCCAATTCAAAAATACCAAACTATCCCCCTTTGAGGGAAATATAACAGTGTTTCCCCGATATGCATCTAGCATGGTGCCGGTGCACCACTGCTGAAGTATGACCACCGCTGCTGATTTTTTTATTTTATGAGTTTCGAAATAAAGTATTCAATTTTCTTTGGTAAAATTCTGACTCCTCTTGTCTTTTGCCATTATCCTAAGCCAGGATATGACACTAGGGTGGTTGTTGGTTGATTATTTTGTCCATTAAATGTTAATAATTATTTTAATGCCAAGAATGTTATCCTTATTTGGTTTTAGCAAAAAGTGTACTTTAAATAACTCTCCTACCGATCAATGGCGCCCAACCCGCCAACTAGAAGTCTTTTATTCTCTTCATACTGCTTCACCTGACGTCTACGTTACATCAAAACAGTGGACACAGTATCCAGCAAACCAATGGAGGTGAACTGGCCAAGCTTCCTTTCATGATTGTGTTTCCTCAAAAAAGAAACTTTGATGTGCTCTTAAATAAGAAACTAATCCCCTCTTAATAGTTTGCAAAAACAACGACTGAGCAGAAAACGTATTTACGCTGCTGAACACAAGGAATTCTTCCAACTCTGGCAGTGTGTCAAAAACAGTACTCCTCTACTCTACTGAGTTAAAGAAAAGCTAGCCAGCTTATTAGCTTGTTGTTTATGTGTGTAGCCTTGGATGTCCCACAGCGTGTGGTAAAAGAGAGAGTTATGACTGATGGCACATGTGGGAGCTATAGTAATGAAGTACACGCTGAAGGAGTTGACAGCGCCTCAGCCATGGAGACCAATGCTTTCAAAACGGGAGTCTGAAAGTATTTATATGGTTCACGATGGATTGCAGATTGAGGGAAAAAAAAGGGGACAACCACAACATCTGCAGGGCAGAGTATTGATTCTAAGTAGAGAGGGGAAAAAAGAGAAAAAGGCAGTCTTAAAGACATGAGAGGGATGGAATTAAGGGAGGTGTAGGGCTAGAATAAATGAAAAGCTTGTCTGATGGGATTACAGAGAAGTCAGAGTCCGCAACAAAGGTGAGAAAAAAAAGGGAAAGTACAGGGACTAGGTGTACTGAAACAAAATACAAGAAGGACAGAGCATTTCCAGGTGGGGTCTAATGGCATCAGTCCCCACAAAGGACTGAATAAATCCTTTCCCTTCAAACAGCATGTTAGCATAGATTCCACCTCTCCCTGACCACCTTTACTGTGTTTTTTTTTTTTTTTACCTTTCCCTCCATCTCTGCCTGCAGCCTGATAACAGAGCCAGCTGCAGCCAAACACAGAGTGTGCACTGGGCAGTATGATTCACAGTACTACTGTAGATCGCAACAAAACTGATATCAGACACCTGGAAATAATGGTTTTCCTTCACCTTCGTATCATATTTTCTATCACAGTTCACCCTCTCCAATAGCAGCAGGGGGATGCAAACTGGTGCAGGTGACAGACCGGCTTACAACATATCTCACTCAGGAGGATTAATTAAAATGCAAAAACCCAGCAAACGTAAGCCTATCAATTTCCTGCAACCCTTTCCTTACCTCGCGTTTCTTCTTATCTTAAGGACAAAAAGAGAAAGAATACGATTCAACCTTGGCCCTGTCTTATTCTGGGGCGCCAAAGGCATTGAGTAGCAAACTCTTTCTGTGTAGGCAAATGCAGAGTTCTTGTAATTAACCCTGATGAATAATGTGACTCACACAGTGGCTCTGGAGACGGGTAAAATAGACACAACAATGTGAACCGTTCTTGGGTTCAATCGTCTAGAGCAACTGCAGGACAGGTTGTGATATGACACATTTTTAATCATCTATAGAAAAGAGTCGGAACAATTACAGGACTCATAAACCCAGGATGAAGACTTTACCTTGGAAATGACACCCCCGCTTTAAGTTAAAATGGAAGTAATTCAGTAAAGCACATTATGGAAAGCTATTATCGTCCATCTTGAAAAGCCCAGAATTACATTTTATGGGAGTGCAGTCATTTGGGGGTTTTAATACTCAATGAAAAGCAATTAGTTTTATGCAATGAAAATGACTTGCACAGGGGGGGGAAAGTGCAACATGCTGAGTGGGGGGATATCTCATGTAATGAAATAAGCATGTGAACCAACTCATTTTTCCAGCTGCAAGAGGCACAGGAACAGACACCCCATGTAAAAAAAAAAAAAAGAAGAAATTAACACCCCAAAGAACACTAACAGGACAAGAAGTGCAACAATACATGTCAGGAAACCAATCGTTTTCAAATGGAGGACAAATATTTAAATAAAGGGAGATTGCACATAATAAAA